GGGCATTGTGGCAGGCGCCTGTAGTCCCAGCTGCTTGGGAGGCTGAGGCAAGAGAATCACTTAAGCCCAGGAGTTTGAGGTTGCTCTGAGCTGTGACAGCCACGGCACTCTACCTAGGGTGACGACTTGAGACTGTGTCTCAAAAAAAGAAAAATAAAATAAAATAAAAGAGCAAACATAACAATTGGAGGTTTTACAGGTTAACTATAAAAACCAACCCATCTAGGCTCAGCACCTGTACTCAGTGGTTAGGGCGCCAGCCACATACACCAGAGCTGGCAGGTTCAAACCCGGCCTAGGCAACAACAATGACAACTACAACAAAAAAATAGCTGGGCATTGTGGTGGCTGCCTGTGGTCCCAGCTACTTGGGATTCTTAAGAGAATCACTTAAGCCCTCGAGTTTGAGGTTGCTGTGAGCTGTGATGTCACGGTACTCTACCAGGGGTGACATAGGGAGACTGTCTCAAAAAAAAAAAAAAAAGGCAAAAAAAAACCCCAACCCAGCTAAATCTCTTCAGAATGATGGATAGATCAAAGACTCTTTATTATTTATGGTGAAATGTTTTGTTGGCCTTGTTATAGAGATAACACAGTATCGCAGCTGAATTGTGGTTTGCCTCATATAATTTTGGAACCTCCTGTTCCCCCTATCCAAATTCTCCCATCCTCCAAAAGAAGTCAAGGTGTGGCTACTTTAATATATTATGTAGAAACTTTGGATGACTTGAGTAAAACAGTGTTTTTATTGATTTGCAGAAGCTGGGTCTTGGTGGATCATCAGTATAATATCTACCTCTATAGAGAGGGTGTGCTCCGGACTGCTTCAGAACCATATCATGTTGATAATTTCCAAGACAAAACCTGCCATTTGACCAATCACTGCATTCAAAAGGAGTACTCAAAGAACTATGGGAAGTATGAAGAAGGGAATGAAATGTTCTTCCAGGAGTTCAATCAGTACCTAACAAGTGCTTTGAACATTACCCTAGAGAGTAGTATCTTACTACAAATCAAACATATAATAAGGTAACTTCATTGTGTCTTTTTTCAATTAGGGGTTTCTTCTTAATGGAGCTTCAGGTGTCTGTGCCTTTCAAAGAATTGTTTCATTTCAGTTGTCTAATTTATGTCTAATATTAAATTATTTGTTATATTTCTTTCCTTTTATTATGGCCAGGATTAGTAATTATGTCAATTCTTTCATTCCTGATATTGATAATCTCTCTGTTCTACTTGGACAGATTGACTAGAGGTTTATTAATTTCCTTTCCTTTTTTTTTTTTTTTTTTTGA